TCATATTGCTTTCGAACAATTCAAAGCATATTTGGCTTCACCTCCCCTCCTCTCAAAGCCCATCTAAGGAGAGATATTATATATTTATTATCCAATGGCAGATAAGAATGCGCTTGCCCTGGTATTCTCAGCAAGGAGACTTCGTTCATACTTCCAGGCTCACACTATCGACGTCTACACGCAACTCCCTTTGAAGGCTATCATACAAAAACTAGAAGCAACGTGAAGATTAGTTAAATGGTTAATAAAATAGGGAGAATTTGATATCTGTTATTTACCGCGTCCAAACATTAAATTACAGGTGTTGACCGACTTTTTGGTAGAATGTACAGTGCCTACCTCTGATGACCACCCTCTTCTCTTCCATGGTCACCTCAGTTGACACTATACGTAGATGGAGCATCTAAAAACTCAGGAGCTGGTACAAGAATACTACTCATCTCCCAAAAGAAAGACATTTTGGAGCACAAACTTCGTTCGAAATACCAAGCCACCAATAATGTTCTCGAATATGAAGCGATTGTCGCCGGATTAAAGCTTGTCATCAATTGTGAAGTACAAAACATAATTATCTACATTGATTCTCAACTCATCGCGTCCCAAGTAGAAGGAGAATACGACGCTCATAACTCACAACTGGTGCAGTATCTCAGTCTCGTAAAAACACTTCTCGCCCAAATTGAAACATGTCAGTTCATTCACATACTTCGGAAACATAACACCCGAGCCGATGCCCTCTCCAAGCTTGCAACTTCAACAACTGGAGATCTCTATAAAAGAATGTATATTGAGGAGATACATTTTCCTAGCATCCATGACCCATGATTGATACTGTCTATAGATGATCCAAGGGAGTAAGGGAGTCATCTTGGATGGATCCATCCCATCATCTTCTTCCTCCAAGACGGGACACTGTCAGATGATGGTACTACATCAATTTGCATCTGACGCATGATTGTCAACTTCATCCTTATAGGGGATGAACTGTATAAGAAGACATTCGTAGGTTCATATCTTAAGTGTCTTCCTCCATCTGAATCTAATTATGCTCTACAAGTAATTTCATTCCAGAATATGTGGGGAGCATTTTGGTGGCAGGGCACTGACTCTTAAAATAATGAGGCAAGACTTCTATTGACCTAAGATTAAACAAGATGCATTAGAGTTTGTGCAAAAATGCAAGAATTGCCAACTACACTCTAATCTTACGCATGCACCGCCAGTGGAATTCACATCTTTTCTGAGTCCTTGGTCTTTCACCCAATAGGGGATAGATATCATGGGGGCTCTTCCGATGGCTACTGGACAATGAAAATTCATCATCTTAGCTGTCGACTACTTCACCAAATAGGTAGAAACAGAGCCTCTTGCCAAGATCACTGAGACCAATGCCAAACAGTTTGTCTGAAAAAAACATAATTTGTTGCTTTGGGCTTTCCGCAAAGATTATCACTGATAATGAGACTCAATTCACTGGAAGAGTCTTCACATCATTCTGTAAGGATCTTTACATTCAATTAGTGCACACTGCTGTGACATATCCCCAAACGAGTGGACAGACAGAGGTGACAAATTGAACGGTGCTCAAGAGGTTGAAGACTCATCTTGAGAAGGCTGGTGGGGCAATGGGTAGAAGAGCTGCATAGTCCTCTGGGCCTATCGCACCACCGCACGAATTCCTACCAGAGAAACTCTACATAACTTGTGTTTTGGCACCGAGGTTTTCAACCCTGTTGATATCGGAGTTCCAAACCCTCGAGTCAAGACTTTCAACTCGGATAACAATGAAGAAAAGCTCCGACAACGCGATGTGGCCCACCTCAGAGCTGCTTCCTACCGCCAAAGAATTGCTCGTCACTTCAACCGAAGAGTAAAGCCTCGACCTATCTCCATTGGTGATTTGGTTTAGCGTAGTATCGAAGCTGCTGGTCATAGTCCCTAAAGCAACAAATTATCCCCTCTCTGAGAAGGCCCATACATCATGGCTGACATGATCAAGCCTGAAACCCTCAAGCTCAAAAATTTAGATGGAAAAATCTTGCCCCTGACCTGGAATGCCGCGAATCTTCGGAAATCCTAACCAGTAATACTTCAGTTATATCATCTATGTCATATTACATACAATGCTAATGTATCTCAGACTTATTAAATAATATTTACTTACTTTATTCTAAAAAAAAAATCTTTAGAAAGAGTAATGGCTCATTCACGAGTCACTTTATGCTCTTGACCCAAGAAATACACAACTCTGGTTGTATTTTAGTCAGAGCACGATCGATCCCAGGGGGATTTGATCTAATCTCTTCCAAATGGGTTAACATCACTGAATTTTTACTTCGATAAATAACCTTAGATAGCTTAACAGTCCTTATTGAGCTACACATGATCCCTTCCACACAAGTTCATAAGTGAGCAATGCTTCAACAAACAACCTCAGATGGGTTAATAAATCATCAGTGGACTTTCGTGGGATCCTCCCATACATGTTAAACGTCACTGAGTAATATTGTGATGCATAACCTCAGCCAAGTAAAAGATCGCTGACAATTTATTCCCACGGTAACCTTCTTATATGACATTGGACATCCAACGCATCAAGCCACTGTGATACTTCACCCAGCACGCCACTGCAACACACTGCCACAACACGTTGCTATGCTGCAATGCGTCGTCAAGCATCACATGTCGCCGCAACACACTACTGCAACACATCGTCACGCCGCGACATATCGTCACAACGCATCGCCACAGTACAACACGATGTTGCCCCGTGTCATCACATCGCAACACTTCGCTGCAACGCCTCGCTGCGGCGCAACCCGTTGTTGTAAAGTGTCACCCACCGCGCCGCAGCGTCGCGCTGTCGCACCAGGTTGTCGCGTCCCCGCTGCGCCACCGCAACGGGTTGCCCCATCGTGCCGCCAAGTCGTGCCGCCGAGTCGTAACGCTGCAACACGCTGCCCCACCGTACCGCTGCGTCGCATCGCCGCAACGAGCAGCCTTGCCGCGCCGCTGCGTTGCACGCCCCGCTGTGCCGCCGCAACGGGCTGCCCCGCTGCGCCGCTACGTCATCACGTCGCGCCACCGCACCTCCACCCTCTCCTTCAAGCCCCTATCTATAGGCTCAAAAAGAGTATTGGCAAATAAATGTACATTAATATAGAAATATAAAAAAAAATGCAAGCATTAAATGCTCATAAATAATAATAAATAAAAACTTTTCATATTCCAAAATAAAAAAACTTTTCACTTTTTATTCCTTCTCTTTTGCCCTTTTAAATTTCTTTTATAAAATATTATTTATTCTGTTTTAGGCGGGATTCGAGCCCCCTTCGAACCCCCTTCTCTCACATAAAGCAAAAAATACTAATCAACTAAGCTAAGTTCAGCTTTCTATTTATATAATTATAAAAATTATTGTTATACTAACTAAATAATATATACATATTTTTATACATAAATACTCTAGATATTAATATTTTTGAACAATAATCGCCCGAAAATAGGGGGGCAATTGATACACCACCAACAAAATTTCATCATTCAACACGAATCTTGAGGTATGACACGAATCTCAAGATGATATTTTAAGCAAGAAACTTTCAAATCTTGATAAAAAGTCATCCAGAGCACCGATTTCAGCAAACTTATACTCAAACTGACCGGTTCGATGAGGACTTATAATATGAAAACTAGTCCAATCCAAGTCAAATCAAGCCCAGATCAAGTCATTAAACCACAATTAAAAGATTTATGAATACATTTGAAAAAAAGATTTATGAATAATTTATGAATACATTTGAAAAGTTAAACGACTATCAACTATGACAAGTTTATACTCAAATCGAGCGGCTCGACAAGACGAATCCAACGAGCCCAAAATCGTTCAATTATGACATCATTAAAGTACTCAAATGTCCATTAAACGTCGTATGATTGAGGGAATCTCTCCGGACCATCCGATCGAAATGATTTATATTCATGCATTAATTGCACAAAAAACACTATAAATATAGTCTCATCCCTCTCATGAAGAAAAAAGAAAGTCTAGAGAAAGTCTGAGGTCTTGAGGTGAAGCTGCAGCTTAGCATCCCACCAATCGTCGTTGACCATCGCCGACCTCCGTCGTCGACCCCCATCGACCTCCGTCGTCGATCGTCATCGATCGTCGACGACCACCGCCATCCTCAGACAACCGCCGACCGCCGTCAACCTTCACCTGCCGTTGTCAACCACGACCAACCGGACGCCGTCAGTCGACGTTGTAATATGGAAAAAAAATATACTTACCATTTCTAGTTTGTGAGATGAGAAATTTCTGTAATCATCAATCAATAGTGAATTTCCGCAATTGGGTCAAGCTCTGTGGTTTTTACCTAACGAGTTTTCCACATAAAAACTTATGGAGTCATCATCGTTTTTTTATATTTCATTTGTGTGAGTGTTGAACTTTCGTACAATGCTAAAACAATAATTTATTACTCTATCGCCTCAAATTTTCTAGCACGCATCAGTATATAAATGTCCTTTTTAAGTATTGTAAACGGTATAAATTTTGAAATTATAAAACTAAATAGAGAAGTATTTAAAATTTTATAAATGAATGCATATATATATATTATTTATTATCCTTATGTGACAGTTAGATTGGGAACGATAAACCTTTCGAACACTCAAAATTTTGAAGGGGGTAATGTCCTCACGTCCCGTTTCGTCAACTATCCTTTGTCAAACGAATACCCGTCATAACCCGCATACGTGTGTTCCAGACTTCAACAGAGTGATCGTTGGTGTGCACTTTTCGGTGCATGTACAAATACAACTTTTGTAGAAGGTAAGAGGGTGCTTTGACCAATCCGACGTGGCTGAATGTGGATCCCACCGCTTTGAGGCTTCCCGTTCCGTCCCTGTCCTTCTTCGACCCCCTGAGATCTCGACACCCTTTCGGGCAGCGGGCAGCTCCGTTCGGTCAGATATCTCTGCCCCCCTTTTAACTGTGGTTTCTTGCTTACTGCTCCACTGTCGATGAGGAGAGAAAGATAAGTGGTGAAAAAGGAGAGAAAAAGAGGAAGAAAACTACTCATTCTTCCGAATCAGAAAGGAGGATAGCTATTGGAATCTTCTGCATATCTCCTTTTGGGATCGGAGCCGCCTGATCCGCGTGGCGGCGGAGTTTTAGAGAGCGATGCTCCGGCCGGAAATGGTTCGACAGGGGGTGATGGATTTCTGGAGGTGTTGGGTGGATCTGAAGGAGTAGAGTTGATGGTGAGGTGGCGGAGGAGAATGGAAGAGGGGGTAGTGGTGGGGTGGATTTTATGGCTGGTCTTGCTGGTCAACTTTGTGCTTGGTGTTTTGGCCAACCTGGAAGGTTAGATGATTCTTACGCTTTCTATTTTTTTTTTTTTTGGCGTTTTCTTTTTTAAGTTTTCTTTCAATGTTCTCTTGTTTGGTGTGTTGGGCATTGGGGTTTTGGTTGATATAGTGAGATTTGAGGGGGAAAATGCTTGAATGGGTGATATATTTGTTTTCTTATTAGGGCTGAATAGGGAGATTTGTGGAGATTCAATGTTTGTTGAATGTTGGAGTGGAACCTTTTAACTTTTCTGGTTTCTCATTGGTTGAAGGAGAGGCATTGATATGAAGGGTTTATTGGCAGTAAGCAACTTGAGTGATTTAGTTGGGAATGGTTAATGTCGCTGATATTTTTAATTGAATGTGGTTCCGCTTGTTCGGGAAAAAAAAGCAATGCTACAATAATGAAGAAATTTGAGTTTGTTTAACCAGGTAGGGAGGGTAGATGCAATGCCGAGCCTGCTTTCTCTTTTGTTAAAATTTGGTGGTATTTCACTTGTTTGGCTAGAGAAAATCTGGATGACAAATGGAAATTTTCTTACTATATTGCTTATGATTTGTTGTTTTAATTATTTCTTTTGATTAATGCCATCTATTTCACCAATTACTGAAAGTACAGGGAGAGTATTTCATCTTCAAGGCAAGTACATTATTAGAGGCGTTCTCTAATTAAAAGTTTCTTCATGCAGATAACATGTTTCCTATATCGAGACATCATAATTGAGCCCATTATTTATTTATTTAGTTATTTTTTTACATAAATTTATTATTGGAGCATGAGTTATAGCGTTTAAAATTTATGAGTTCCAATAAAAAAAAATGGTTTCAATCAACCAAATCTCAAAGTTCCTTGAAATGGGTATATAGATTAGATCTTGTGAAAATTTAAAAGGGTGTCAAAGAAGACCTTGTATATGGTTCTATATTTCTAAAATTGAAGGCCCTTTGTGAAAAAGCTTCTTGCGTGGTGAATCATTTGCATATAGCCTTTTCAGCTTGTGTCCTCTATGATGCCATCAACTGTCATGATGACTCTGAGATTCATCATCATCTAAACAAAAATAATATGAAAATAGAAAAAAACAAAAACAAAAACTGGCTATTGTAGTTGTTGCTCCTTGGTTAAATGACCATACAAGAATGGGAATGACCCTCTATCACCCCCACTTACGTGGCTAGCGATGATTATCATCATATTACGCTCTTGGTGATGCAGACATTGTAACTGTGTTGGGTCTTAATTAAGCACTCAAGGCATCTCATCGTACTCTCAAAGGAGCTACGACCACCATTCTTTTCCATTGTCTTCAAAATGATGTTTCTGTCCTCTTATGTTCTTGGGAGAAGATGCCCCACTTGTCTTCATCACTATTATTAATCGTTTGCTGCCTTCAGTTGCCTATTGCAATGATCACCTATCCTAAGCTGAGGCATAGAAGCCACCAAAAAAATTATTTTTTCATGATTATGAAAAATACCGTTGAAGTAACATTTACTCCTAAATCAATCTGTTTGGTTTGACTGAGATTGGTATAGGACATGCTACATTTTTGAGCATATCCTCTTCCCTTCGAGTGCATGGCTCATTAGTAAATATGATTCCCTCATTCTTCTTGCTGCCAATCGAATTTCCCTCATGCTTCTTTGGGCCAATCTAATATCTGTTGCGTGTGATTTAGTGGGTCTATCAAATTATTTTAAACAATGTCGAGGTTAAATTGGTTAATTCAATCTCACTTTTTGCCACAAAGTCATTTTATCTAGCCCATTATGTTGGACTTGATTTTCTGAACTTACTCTTTTTGTCCGAAGTGCCTACATATATGTTATTATTTACATTGTCTTTTTTTTTTATTCTTTGATGTAGTTAAAAATCGAGAAGTGGTATGATTCTAAGTAGGCAACCTTTCTTTATTTGTAAGATATGACATTTTGGGCTTATTTAGCTTATTACAGATGTACATGAGCCTCTTAAGGGTGTTCAATATCATTCAATGTAATCTAACTTCATTTCTCAATTTTTTTAAATGTTCAAAAAGATCTCGATCTTCATCATTTTCTACTTGATTTTACTAAAAAGAGAGTTATGTCCAACATCATTCAAATTGGCATCATTTGTCAAACATCCCTTTTGACTAAGGTTGTAAAGGCGTCAAATCGAGCTAAAGTTACTCTTAGCTTGCGTTTGACTTGGCCATTATTTTTTAAGATTGAACTTGAGCTCATTGACAAACTCCAGCTTGATAAGTGTAGTTAAGAGTCATAACCTTGTCGGTGGCCGAGGGATTTTATGAAGAAGTTATTGTTGGGATATTTGAAGGTGGTGTTGGGATATTTGAAGGTGATGTTGCTTGTGGAGAGAAGGAGTAGAGGTGGTTGCGTGCCATGAAGAGACATGGGGAGCAACAAGAACATGAATTGGGGTTAAGTTATTATATTTGAAGCTTATATTCTATAAGATCTTACCTAAATTAGTTGGCTTGACTAGCTCACAAATGGAGTAGTAAACAATGATTACTCCATCTTAGTTCACGAGTTTGTTAAGCCTTTCATGTGATCATATTAATGAGACAAGGTCACAAACCATATTGACTCATTTACAACCCTAATTTTGACCTTATTGAGTCACACCTAACTGCCTTTGTGTTTGATAACCTCCACTAGCTCCAAGGATCATTCCTAATAAGAAGAAAATGAGGCGCCATCTCTCCTTTTAAAAGTTGAAAGTTGAGCCCCCGATAGTTGTCCAAGCATCAACTTTTTAGTTGCTATTAAAGGAATATAACCCTCCCACCTCTATGCATCTTATCCCCTCCATGCAAAGATAGTGTTGGTTACACTTGTTCTTAGCCATCCTTTGAAGCTCGAAGAGAATGACCTTAGTTAAGTTACTTGCTATGGCTCAAAGTATATAAATTACAAATATACATTTTTTTTTAATTCATAAGTAGAAAGATCACTATTGATATGTATTCAAGACATTTGGGGTCTAGTTTCTCTTTGTCATTTCATAAACATGAATCACTCATTCCATTAGGCTAACATGATATCCACACTCCCTTGAAGTTTATCATGACACATTCTTCTTCATAAGATCAAGAGGATCTACTAGTGAATACTAAAATGCTTAAAATTCAATCAACCGTTTTTTTCTCCATTGACATTAAGGTTGATATATTGTGAATGTTCGCTAGATTGGAATCCCCTATAACCATCTTTCTTAATACCTAGAAGACCCTCTATCTATAATATAATTAGAAAAGCTAAAATTAGATCAAGCTCATATTGATTTTATTCATTTAAGAGATGTTGGAAAACATTAATGAAGTGAGTTGATCCAACTAGATGCCGGGGGAGGAATGATGAGCTTTAAGCAGACAGAGAAAATTATGATGAACTTTAAGCCGATTTATAGTTGATTTGGCATCGGCTTGAGATTAACTTATGCAAATTATATAGCAAGTCTTTTAAGCTAGGTTGGGAGACAGAGTGAGAACAAGAAAGTTCATAACAAAACTGAACAAACTACAACTTTATACTACCTGGATCACCATCATTCAAATAAAAGTCAGATCTCAAAATTGCTACTAATAACATTCAATAGAAGCACATGACACAAAAAATATAAGCAATAATTGTATACTATAATGCCATTGAGGAAATAGGACAAACAATAACATTGGAGATTTGCACGCTGCACATGTAATCATTAACCTTATTTTTAGTATATAAGTGTTGCCACAAAAGCTTTGGGTGATTTTATTATAGAAAAAAATGATAGAACACAGTAACAAGAAGCTAGAGGCTTGGAAACACAAATAGAAAGTATTGGAAGACCATCTTACACGCTAATGAGCCAGAAACACAAAACTATCAATTAGTGCAGAAATTTTGTATGGTGTGGAAAGGATGGATTAGAAGAAGTTTATGTTATTAGCTTCTACTAATTGGAATGTTTTTAGGGAGAAAAAGCAATAAACTCAGTTGGGTTTCTTGTGAGATGAGAGAAAAGAGAAGGTTTTGAGGGAGGGAGATGAAGCAATTCTGGGATGTTATTGCTAAAATCTTCTTGGATTCTAGCTGTTGAAATTAGAAGGACTAAGGCACTTCATTGCCTTTACCTGCAACAGGGGCAAACAAGAATGTGTCTTGGTTTAGGACAGAGAATTATGAGTTTAATTTTGTAGGTAAGGGTTTTATAGGCATTACAAGAATTTAATGGTTATTGTTATTGAACTCATTTTCACATTTTAGTCTTCTAATAAACATCCAATTTTATTAAAAAAAAACAAAGAAAAGGTGGATGTGGATTTGAATCTAAATTTGATTTAAAAGGCTATTCAATCTATTTTTGCCATCCAAGTTATGAGCTGAGTTAAAGATTTTATTTGATTTATATACATACATATGTGCGCGCGCACGCGTATTGTGACATGTTGGTAAAACAACCTCACTGAAGGTTGTAAGTCCCCTCAGGTCACGGGTTCGAATTCCCCCATGTGTAGGATGTGGTACTCAAATATTTAACACGCCTAGGGATGGACGGGGCTCGTCTAATAGCCTTCGGCCACTCCTTTATATATATATATATACTCATGAAAATATTAAAAATGAAAGATTGATTGAGCCAAGCCAACTCTATTCAACGCTACATAGTAAATTAATCCTATTAAAAAAAAAGGCTAATGGATCTACTCATTCATTTCAATCTGAGCTTGTTCTTTTTTTTTCCAAGCAATCATTGATCTTTGAACTAAATTCTCTGCCTAGGTTGATTCTTTGTTCGATAAGAGTAGATTCTTTTTCACACTCACAATTGACATGGACATCATAGGCTTCTTCAATGTTGAATATCGTTAGCGACAGGCAAACATCATTCTCCGTCTTATCAGTCCATTGAGGGGAGATTGACCGAATTAATCCTTGATTCTTCTGACTTGTATGGGTTATCCAAAAGCAACAAAATGTTTTATTGTTGCTCTGCATAATTTATTTGCGGCTTTCATTAAAGTCTTCTTATCAATCTTCAGATGCTTCTATGAGTAATCAAGGAACAATAATTGGTTATTTTTTGACATACAAGCTATAGTTTTCCTTTATTTGAAGGCCATCAAGTGCAAATCATTCTGATAAATGATAATTTCACGCATTATTGCTGTGAAGGTTGTTCCCAAGTTTGTATGTGTAAATTCTTAATGCTTAAAATGTTATAAACATATATATTGAATTGTATTTTCTGTCATCATCATTTGGCTTCTCCAGGAACTTTATTTTGTGTCTAATTCATTTTTTTTTTACCTTATTTTTTTCATAATGTTGCTTGTTTTTTGTTTGTTTTTTGTTTTTTTTTTTTGACTACTTTTCTGCAGGTGATGCATTGCACAGTTTACAAACAAACTTGAATGATCCTAATAACGTTCTTCAAAGTTGGGATCCCACACTGGTTAATCCGTGCACATGGTTTCATGTTACATGCAACAGTGATAACAGCGTAATTAGAGTGTAAGAAATAGATGTTTATGTTTTGCTCATATTGAAAGTATTTGGTATACTCTTTTAGTTCATGATGTATTTCATGTTTATTTCATCTAGTGATCTCGGGAACGCAGCCTTGTCTGGAACGCTAGTGTCCCAACTTGGTCAGCTTAAAAATTTGCAATACCTGTAAGCTATGCCATAAAATGGAGCATCTTTTTGCAAATTATCACTAATCAGTACATTATACATTACTACATTTCCATTTTTTCCATGTTTTCTTATGTTAACAAATTCTTTCACCGAGAAATTGAATTATACTCTGTTATTTTCATGGAAAATATGATTTTAGACAGCTATTGGTGTACTTATATTTCTCTATTTTGTAGGACAGCTATTATCTGTTTTAGCTGTTACCGTCTTACTTGTCACACATGTTGCATCAGTTAGATTTACTGAATATCTCATGATGTTTCGTACTGTGATCTTTAGCTGTCAGAGCCTTTGGTTTGGAACGCTTAGTTAATTTTGCTATATGTTCTTATGTTTCATTGTCACGAAGCTGCTATTTCCTCAAGACTAGACTTCCCTGAAGGATTTCTGATGGCGGAAAAAATTAAGTTCTAGAATAGATAAACTAGTTCATAGGAAACAGGGTTTTAGGATAAAGGAATGATGAGATCACAGGTTTGTTTATCCCTCTTGAATGTCAGTAACACTCCTGCTACCAATGTGGATGGTGAAATAGACTGCTTATGGCTGTCTGAGCTTTTAATTTAAGCCAAATGAGGAATGAAGAAATATTCCTTACCAGTTTTCTAGTATAAACCCTAGCTCTATCTGTTGTTAATTTAGGGCGTCAGTTCTAACCTTTTGTTATTTATAGATATAATATTTGAGAAGTTTTTCTAAGAATTTCTGTTTTTCTGTTCTCATCGTCCTTCCTTTTTTTATCTCATGTATTTTCTTTCTGGAAAAGCTACTTAGAAGTTATTTAATGTCCCATTTCCATGTTGGTGGCGCTTGTTTTCATTTTCTGTTTTGATACTTTTGATGATTGAATTAGTATATATTTTACATAATTGTATCCAAATCATAGTGGAAATATAAATTTAGTGAAGATTCTGTACTAGGGGGATGCATTTTCTTTCATTTTTTTATCCTTTCTGTAAATATTTGAGTTTTTGTTAACTTGTTGGATACACTAAAAATTTGTAACCTTTTTAGCTATTCAAGTGCATTAAACAAAATGTAATGTCTAGAAGTTGTGCAAATTGATTTTTATTGTTAATTTTTCAAGTAGCTCTTGCTAGAAATTAATTAAGGATTTATAAAGTGGACCGCAAACTATAGTTATTATTAAAATTTTGGACCTTTGGTGGACCACAAAATGTTGGGGTAATGCTAATAATGATTATGAAGAGCATTATCGATCAATTTTTTGATTATTTGAAAATATGATATGAAAATAATTTTGAAATTTAAGTTAAATATAAGAGGTATATATTTTTGGTTTTGAAATTAATGTGTTTTAATTTTTGAAAAATGAGACCAAGTGGATCTCATTCGTCCAATAGTTTGCATAATCGTGTCTGATATCGTGAATACTACACATTTCCGAAATGTGAGTGTATCGAAATGTGAGTGTATATCTCAGCAGTAGACCCAATCCTGCAAACTAAGAGATTAATGACATCCGTTTGGTCTGCGAACCTTTTTATGTATGACCAACAATTTCCCCTATTTAATATAAATATTAAATAAGATTTATTTTACCTGGGTTTCAAGTTGCTTATAGAGTCAAGTCTCTATAGTTAATTACATCTCAAATGACTGGGGTCACTTGAGAAAACTCTTGATAATGATCAGAGGTACTAGTCTTCAAGATTTTAAAGTTTAGGTTTTCACGGTAGGACGTGAAAAGACAATTGTGAGTGACTCAATAGAAACAGTTGTTTCAGGAGTCCAAAGGAAGGAACAGGTAGACGATGTAACAGATCCTGAGGAGAAACCTCAGTGACTTCCCATACTATCCTACAGTGTGGCTGTGTTTTGGAGAAGATGTTATTTAAGTGTTCAATTCTGTCAATTTTATTATTTGGGATTTACACTTGCATGATAACTGGTTATGCAAATAGCCCGTAAAAATAAGAGGGTTTACGTCGTGTCACACGACAACCTCGGAGCCTAGGGCAAGTTAGGACTTGCACTGCACAACATGGTTGTGCAGGGGCTTAAAAGTGTGAGGATTTAGGTCGCGCCAAACGAGTTACCTCGAAATCCTATGAGTTGTTTAAACTAAGAAAGTTTAGCTGGTCTAGACTTGTTTTGTTATTGTAGAATGACGATCACCTCTACTTGTAGTCTACTCCAAGCTTCTTGCTGCACTGCCCACGAAGATGCTCCAAACTTCTCGTCGAAGTGGGTTTAAGTTTTCTAATGTGTCAAGTCATGATGTCAAATCAAATATTTTCTAAGGTTATGATCATTTAAGTGTTATGGGGGATGTTAAAATTGATTAGAGCGACACCGGTTAGAATCCCACGGTTCCCTCGTTCTGGTATCACTATGTTCTTTTGAATTTACTTAGCTTAAACAAATTATGAAATCCATTTAAACCGAGGAGATCTCGTTAGCAACCGTAGGTTACTTCCTCTGAGAGACTCCCGTAAATTCGAAAGAACGTGTTATGTTTATTTTTATTTTTTTTTGTTTTGAAAATGTTGTTTAATTTTAAAAAATGTTGTTGAATTTTGAAAAAAAGCTTTCTTTTAAAAATATTGTTGAATTATTTAGAAATGACTTTTTTGGAGAGAACTCGCCGGCGCGAGGTTTGATGTCGTCCCTTTCGTCTGTTTCAAAGGTAGCTCCCACGATCATTTAACGCTTCGACCACGTCCGAGTTTACCTCGCAAATGCACACCGAGAAGTTGGTATGAGAAGATGACTCATTCAATTTAAATATATGAAATGTATGATTGAAATTGTGGAGATTCAAATAGATTTGAATTACATAATACTATTCAAGCCTCCACTCTACTCAACCCTGAAGTGTTTACATGTCTCACCCCTAAACTTTTCCTTAAATTCATGTCATCCAAATCCTTCATATTAAATCAAGAATACCCCTGTTTTAATTTTTTAAAGTGAAACACAACTTTCTGAAAATGAAATACAGCTCTTCAAGCAAAGTTAAAGTGGCATATATGTAAATATTGAAGTTTAGGTGTTAGATATGTAAATACATCGCGATCGAGTGGTATGCATGTAAATCTTCCAAAATTGAATCAACCCTTGTTCCGCTCATCCTCTAAATGACCAAAACTCTCTCTCTCTCTCTCTCTCTCTTTCTCTCTCTTTTTTTTTTATCGATCCAACCCCCTTTTAACAAACTTTACCTCAGTATCAGGTTGCATTATAGTCAAAGATTTGTCGTCACATATTTTCTATGGGAAATCAACGGTGCAACCATTTTGCATATTGATCTGATTTGGAAAGTTATTCTCAATCAATTTAACTAGCTATGTAGGATTGCCAATTCTAATGTCTGAGAACGATCTATTTTATTTTAAGTGTGGTCTCCAGATTGTAATCTTGATGGGGTTCCTCACATACAATTCTAAGTGTTATTTTCGAAGCAGTATGCAGTTCATGAAAAACTGGCCCTCCATAATTCTCTTTATTTCAGTGTAGGCAATGCAATTTTCGTTTAACAGCTGTTATTTTTAAAGTCATCACAAATCCCTCAGATGTCTTCTATTTATTCTTTGGCTTCACTGTAATCTTTAACAAGCAAATTCCACCGTTCTTGTGTGTCTATATATATTAGAATGATAAGATACCAATATTTAGTTTAGCATTCTGGGTGAATCTGATATGAGTGCATTAAATCTCTGTTTCACCTACCACCCAGAATAAATTTTAACCCTTCAATCAGTTATGGTTTATCGACATTAAGTCTTCCAAATTATGGACATTATGGGTACACAAATAAAATCAGCGAATTTAAACAGCAACCTTGGAAAGTTGGAGTTTACAAACATACCACCAAATTATTATGTAAAAAACACGTCTAACACTTAATCTTTGCTCTTGTCATTTATACCACCCAAATATTTCATATAACACAACAAAAAAAAAACACTATTTGAACCTTAAAAAAAAAAAAACACCAAATGGCTGATATGTGACCCAAATTATGAAATAAAATATGGAGGAACAATCATGAACTTTATCATTGACCACATACAATACATGCATGAAACTATGTAAGCACAAACTGTACCAAAGTTTGTTACCCTTAGAGAGAACATGTATGTACATATAACGACAAAAATGTAAACATGTGCTGATTTATGAATATCTTAATTATGCTCGTTCTTATTTTGAGAGGTGAGAAGAAAATGTTCATTTTATTACCTCCAAAAGCTGAAGTGTCTCTTTCTGCGTCCCATTCTGCAGCTTTGATGCCGATTCAGTACTGATGTACTTGGCATCAACAATCTTCAATTTTGGCTCTCAGTTCGCCGCGATTTCTTCGCTACCTCCTTGCTAACGGCAACTGCAATTCTCTGAAAAAGAGCAGAGAGGCAAGCGTGGGATCTCGGTGCCAAGGTGAGGAGACGAGGTTTCCTGGGTGAGCCAAGAGGTGAGCCGAGCAGGAAGGGGTGCCGAACAGAGAAGGAGACAAGATTTATGTCGAGTGAAAGAGTTGAGGGCTTCTTTATCGAGCTGAGGAGCGGGAAGCAATCTTCGACACAAGGAGGAGTGTGTCGAGCGAGGGAGGCGAGCAGGAGTGGGAGGGAGTCGAGCAAGGGTTTCTGGAGAGGGAGTCGAGCGAGGCTTTTCTGTGTGAGCGAGAGGGAGGCGGGCTCGGTGAGGCAGGAGAATGCAAGAGAGATGAGGCGAGGGGTTTGGGTGCTGCGATCGGGGAGGAAGAGGCGCACAGAAGCTTTAATTGGGAGGGAGACGAGCGACTTAGTTTGTTCGGCGTGAGGAGGAGGCGGGATCGAGAGGGGTCTTGGTCTTCGGTCGAGAGAGGAGAGCAGGTGTCGGATGCAGAGAGACGAGGCGAGCTGAGTGGGAGTTTTTTTTTTTTTCTTTCTGCCCCCTAAGCCCGACTTGCTCGATTATTTAGTTCAGTCCTCAAAAGTGAAGTTAAAAGCCGAATATGGAGAGGAGCGTGATTCATTAACTGCAGGGTTTAATTAAGAACGGAATAACATCCACAAAATGTTAATTAACACCTGGATTAACTGCTGTTAATTTAAATTTCAAAATTTAAATTCAGACCGCTCGAACTGGTGTTATTGACTCAGGTCTAGCCCAAATTGAATCCAAATTGAGCCTAGGCTGAGCCCGGGCCCGCGTCCCGCTAAAAAAAAATATGCATCAATTTCCATACCATTTATGCGCACGCGAAATCATAGCAATATGAGTGTCATTCCTAGCTAAAGTTGACGTTCTGAATGCGTCAGTGCGGTCCGTTTCGTCATCTGGGGTCGTCCGGACAAGCTTGCCGACGGTCGGGCCAAAAAGTGTCAACTTTGTGTGATGTAGCGAGTGCGTTGCTGAGTCACGGAGGGTTCACCTAAGGCCGTCTGATCCTGTAGGAACTCATTTTCGGGCCCTCTACATGTTGGTCCTTAGCCCTTGCAACTAGGAGTTGAGTACTTGGAACCAGTCATGCGAGTTCTTCACAAAAATGAGTCGAGAAGTGGTTTGAAGTTCTACGGGAGGTGGGCTCTATTACTGGTCTGCTAAGATAATCAACAAGGAACTCCTAAGGCTAGATTTTGGGTTCTAGGAGTAGGAAACTAAGACCTCAATAAAAATGAGGGCAACAAGTTTCATTACATTCATTTTTTGCTGCACTGTGGTAATGATTCTTACGTAAAATATGATAAAAAAAAGTTTGACCAGCCTTTGAATGTTGGAGGCAACAAAGCCAAATTACCTATAAGGGCAGTAATTTGAAAACAGAACCTTGAAGCTCATCTGTCCTTCTATTTTTTTATTTTAGACGTTTATAATTAGGATATATATCATAAATGTATAAAAGTCTTGATCGGTTAAAAATAACGGCCAAGTATTTATATTTGTGTGGTATGGTAAAAGCAAGATGCTAGGATTTGATGCAATACCAGCAGAGTAAGGTAAGATAGTTTGGTTCTTATAAATCTGTGGATGATCCTGAACATATATATGCTTATTTAAACCTGTTTATGACGAGCCATTCTGAGTACAAGACAGTTCTCCTAGGCAATTATGGCTTGACATTCCATTGCTATTTGATCTTTACTTTGCTTTAGTTATTAATGGCCTATTTATGAAAGCTCGTACAGTTAAATAATAAAATATTTCAGTATCAGGGTACATTATGAATAGGAATAATACTTGTTTTACCAGTTGTAAGATATCTGATGACAAATATTTTGAGAAATTGTAAGATGAAAGTCCTTGTAGCTCTATGTTGATAGTGGATTCAATTCTTTATTATTTAGTTAAATTTTTATTTCATTTAACTGAAGCTTATACAAGTAATTATAGATTAAAGTGCATTGCTTGGTGGGGCAATAATTTGATATGTTCTTTCAAGTTATATCTTCTTTTGTATATAATTCAAACCGTACTTCTCTCATGGTAAGGATACCTCAAGTTGTATGGTTTACTGAGGTGAACCATCATAGCCTTCAAATATTTTTTGTTTGGATTCAGATATTTATCTCGTTGAATAGTTAATGACTTTTTTTTTTATTATGTGATGACAGGGAACTTTATAGTAACAATATTAGTGGATCAATCCCTCCAGAACTCGGAAATTTGACCAACTTGGTGAGCTTGGATTTGTACCTGAATAATTTTACTGGTGGAATACCTGATTCGTTGGGAAATCTGTCAAAACTGCGCTTCCTGTATGGTTGCTATCTTTCCCCACTACTGATTACTGTATTATGGCTTTTATAGCACTATGATGGATTTTACTAAACGTGGTATGGGAAATAATTATAGAATCATATCGATACCTGTTTTAAATATAATGTCTGGTGTTTTAAACATTGTTAGCATTTTTTAAATTTAAAATACAGGCCATACTAATAAAAAATAGTAATTTGGGCAATACTTCAAAGTGGATTGGGTGGTTGCACAATAATTAATGCCAAGAAAATGGGCGATGGCTTAACGCATAGTTAATCTTATTTTATAAAATTTGTGGTTAGAATTTTTAACCACATCATCAATAACTATATTTTTTTTAAATGTGTGATCTTAATATATATAAAAAAAGTGAATAAAGAAAATATTTTTCAACCATGATCTTTAGAAAATAATGACCAAAATTTAATGTTTAGCCGCATTAAAAAGTTAATATGTTACCAAATTTATGATAGTGTCATTATCTATTTTATAAAAGAAGATTTAAAATAATTTTATTTTACATGTTACATATAAACTGGTGTGTTAAAATTTCAATTAAATCTAATTAGAAATATGATAAATTTTTCTATAGATTTCTTCTTTTAAAGTCTGTTGAATCCTAAATTGCCTTTTTGGAAATACACCCCGAGAGTTAGAGTTTGTGAGGAGAAAAGAGAGAGAGAACTACTGAGTATGAGAGAATCCAAAAGTCTTTTTAGAGAACTACTGAGCATGCATTCTTTTTCCTGACCATCCAATCCCCTTGAGATTCATGCTGACATTTTGTAATATACAACATATATGTTACATATAAGTCATTTATGTTTTTATGAATTTCTCTTCCTCGATGACCAATAAAGGACTTCAAATATAATTCTTCGTTCTTTATTACCTTTTTAAGATATGAATTGATGTCAATTTGAAAGTCTTTTTTTAGTCTTAAATTATGAATGAATAAAGGTTGAATCTTGTTCAACCAAATTTAATCGACATGCACGCCATTGCTTGTTGAAAAAGTTTTCCCTACCTGGTAAATTTAAGAATGATAGCCATCATGACGTGGACCATTTGTTCATCAACGGTTGCTTTCAGTGCATCAAATATTGTATTTTTTAGCCTTCATAGAGGAGCATTTCTTCACTTGGCTTCCATTTCCCCACTTTTGTCTTATAATTTGTTTACCTCGAGCTTTTCACGAAACTTAAAAGCAAATTTCATGGTACCCTCAGGTTGGGGTAAATGAGCAGCATCTGTTAGCTGTAATCAAACCGAGATGGAGGGAACAATTGAATCGCACAAAAGAGAACAATTTTTGTTATTTATCGATGCCCAACTTCCCTGCTCACATCGTTTGTCTTTCGTTTGCGTCTACATAGCCATTATTGCATGTGTTCACTGAAAGCATGCTCGCACATAAGTTATTTTATAAATTGTGTGCGTTTGTGGTTACACATCCAAGATCCCATATTTATCTTCCTGGCATGGTGGGAAAGCCCATTGTGTTTGTTATTCACATGACATTGGGGGCGCATACTAGTGCAAAATAATTATATAAACTATGTTTGTCGTTGCAGGTATTGCAGACCCACCCATGTACATACCTTTCTTGGATTGATGATATATAGACGGCTCCGGTGTTACAAAACACGTCTTTATTGACTTGATAGAATAGATAATTGAAACATGTCCACTGCACCATACACACATTTCTTGGTGTAATGAAATTGTCTAACTGGCTTCCTGGTATGCTTTGGTGATGGTGATCTGAAAACGTCACCAAAGATTTTGCTAAATCTTTTTAAACTCACATATGATGTATTTTCCTGTGTTCGTAATTTGGTCCCTTATACAATTCTTTATTGACATTGTCAGGATACAAACATAGCATTGTGTTATATGCATTTTTAGTGTGGTAGGATAGGCAAAATGACCTCGATGTATTTTACAGCACAACATATGTCTTTCTTAACAGAGTGAGATAGCTAATCATGCTTTTTATAATTACACCCCATTTTATTGAAATATTGCAAAAAATTCTTAGCGAGTTCTTTTTAGCAAACTCATGATGAATGAATGCATGAGCCCACACGGAGCTTTTCTTAAAAATTTCTCAAACATAAAAAATAGAAGACTATAACATATATTTAAAGGGTGTGTAATGATAAATATAATGTATAAATGCTTCAAAGTCAACTAGATGAATATTGACAAATTATTTCTCATGGACAACGAATAGGGTTTGACTCGATTTCAGGCACAAACTAGGTTGATTGGAGCTTCCCTGGATTACACCCAAATTAAAAATTATCTAAATACGCACTCAAACTAAAAATTATCTAAATACGTAGCCATGAAATATTCATGGAGCATTTTTCAAATTCCACAGATCGATGAAGGGTGTTATGGAATTTCTACCCCAACATAGTGGACCTTGCCACTCGGATTATATCACATCGAGGTTATTGAGCGAAATGCACCTTTGTCTGATAAGTTTCTCAAATATTTAACACAATGTGACACATTCTGTAGGTCTCTTAGACATATGAAAATTAGTTTGCATAATGAACATTTTTTAATATACTGTTGTCCACTCAAACAATTCTTTTAAAGTTGGTGAATGCCAGAGCCGACAACAATGAATACGACTCACTAACTTTCACAATACACTATAGGATTTAGTGATTTGTGATTCACCAAGAAAATTGTCCATATATTTGTATAAGGTCTTCAAAAATATTTATAGTGAAAATTTATTTTGAGTCATCTTGCCTATAGGGTGAAGTTTTAAGACCAGTCAGACTTTTTTCATCTTGAGATCATAAGTCCCATTCATATGCCTCTCCAATATCAGAGTGCTGAAGTCATGCTTCTTAGATTTTATTCTCACTTAGGGTTACAAGTCTATTAGTTGGGCTCCTCTAACGTCAAGAGATAAAAGTGCTAACTCTGAGACTCTCAAGTCAAGATCAATATAATAATTAATTTTATATGTAGCAATATAATCAATTTTGTCTGGCTTGCTTGTAGATAAGGGTCATATGGCCCTCCATTGGACTTTCTTCTGATCAGGAGTTTGAAAGTTCCTCTGGTATATTCTTCCAACACTGGAAGGACGAGTTCTACCTATGGGCATCTTTTAGTAATTGATCGGTCCTTATTCTCAGTCTTGTGTCCCAATAATTAGACTTTAAAGCGATTTACAATGAATATTTGGATTCAGACAAAGGTCCTTATTCTTTGAGATTTTTGGCTACATTTTGCATAGTTTTTTTAAAGCGATTTACAATGAATATTTGGATTCAGGCTATCTTGCTTATAGGATGAGTTCTTGAAACCCATCATTAGACTTGTTTCTATCAAGAGATGCATGTCCCGACCCTTGACTGATACCAATACAATAGTTAAAATATTTTTTTGGTGTTGTAGACAGCTGAGAGTTGAGTCATGGGTTCACTTCGTCAGTTTTCTCATTTCCTTTCTTCTATAATAATGTGGAATATTCATATAATTGTTTTTTTTGCAACTTTTTTGGAAGGATAGTCGGCTCAACAACAATAGCTTGACGGGTACCATTCCTACGTCTTTAACCAACATCAATGCTCTCCAAGTTTTGTAAGTTTGTTATAGTCTCTTGTATATTTTGTTCTTCTCACCTATATTTGATAGTTCCTCCGGCAGTTGAACTTGCTCTTATGTTATAAATGTATAAAAAGGGATCTTTCTAACAACAATCTATCCGGACCAGTTCCATCGACGGGTTCCTTTTCTTTGTTTACTCCTATCAGGTGTCTTACTGATTTTGTGAACAAACTGGCTTGATCCTATGATTCTAATTCCTTTATTCTGTTTGATAAATGTATGTGTACACATTGGCAGTTTTGCAAACAATCCTTTATTATGTGGTCCGGGAACATCTCATCCTTGTCCTGGTTCTCCTCCATTCTCCCCACCACGTCCGTTTAATCCACCAGTTACAATCTTGTCACCAGGTAGTTTTTAGTAACAGCGAATCTTTTTCTTTTACAGCTTGAAATATTCTCATTTCTTCTTTATTTCTATTACTTTTCACGGGCGTAATATCTTCATAGATCTTCAGAGCAATGAACATTTATATATTCCCCAGGAAATGGTGCCTCCAGCACTGGTGCTATTGCTGGAGGAGTTGCTGCAGGTGCTGCTTTGCTTTTTGCTGCTCCAGCTATTGCTTTTGCTTGGTGGCGACGTCGGAAACCACAAGACCGTTTCTTTGATGTTCCTGGTCAGTAAACAAAAATACATGCAACTCATACACACTTTTTTTTTTAATTTCAGTTGATTACAGCCAATTATAAACCTATAATTCATTTCATTATTCATTGTTTAGCTGAAGAAGATCCAGAAGTTCATTTGGGTCAGCTTAAAAGATTTTCCCTTCGGGAACTCCAAGTTGCAACGGATAGCTTTAGCCCCAAGAATATTCTAGGCAGAGGTGGCTTTGGAAAGGTATACAAAGGGAGGCTTGCAGATGGTACACTAGTTGCAGTAAAGAGATTGAAGGAAGAGCGCACACCAGGGGGTGAACTCCAGTTCCAGACTGAAGTTGAGATGATCAGTATGGCTGTACATCGAAATCTGCTTCGGCTTCGTGGGTTTTGCATGACCCCTACTGAAAGATTGCTTGTCTACCCATACATGGCTAATGGAAGCGTGGCATCATGCTTAAGAGGTATTAAACTGCATCAAAACTACTTATTTTCACCATTTGGCCCTTGAACTCTCTCTTATTCTCAAACTAGTAATTCTATATGTGAAACATTTAATTAATTTGTATGTAGAGCGGCAACCAAATGAACCTCCCCTAGTTTGGCATACCAGAAAACAAATTGCATTGGGATCTGCAAGGGGACTGTCTTACCTGCATGATCATTGTGATCCGAAGATCATTCATCGTGATGTGAAAGCTGCAAATATCTTACTGGATGAAGAGTTTGAGGCAGTTGTTGGTGATTTTGGTTTGGCCAAGCTTATGGATTACAAGGACACTCATGTGACTACTGCAGTTCGAGGAACAATTGGACATATTGCGCCGGAGTATTTATCCACCGGAAAGTCTTCAGAGAAAACCGATGTTTTTGGCTATGGAATCATGCTTCTAGAGCTCATCACTGGACAAAGGGCATTTGATCTTGCTAGGCTTGCAAATGATGATGATGTCATGCTGCTGGACTGGGTGAGTTTTTTTATTTTATTTTTGATGCATTTGTTTATGATAATTCATAACTATTGCAAAAAAAAGTAGTCTTATTGAGTCATCTTTTTGGTTCTCATATTATCTATTTTTGCTTATTTTTTTTTTTTTTTGTATGAACGTTGGTTCTTCGTTGAGTTGTATTCAAAGGTTCATTTTTGTTTTAGGAGGCTTTCATGGGTATCAACATCAGCATGAAGGATGGAATATGCTAATAAAAAAAATTCAAATCATGATACCTTAATGCATATTACTTTTGGTTTAACATAATTTGTACTTGGAACATGGTATTTAAATGATTCTTTTATATCTTCAAAATTTCAAATTTGTCCAGGTGAAAGGATTGCTGAAAGAGAAGAGATTGGAAATGCTGGTTGATCCTGATCTACAAAACAACTATGTGGAGGCCGAGGTAGAGTCTCTAATCCAGGTGGCCCTACTGTGCACGCAGGGCTCCCCGATGGACCGACCGAAGATGTCAGAGGTGGTCAGGATGCTCGAAGGGGACGGTCTAGTAGAGAGGTGGGAGGAGTGGCAGAAAGTGGAAGTCTTTCGTCAGGAGGTGGAGTTGGCACCCCATCGCAATTCCGATTGGATTGTGGACTCGACCGATAATCTACATGCTGTCGAATTGTCAGGTCCAAGGTGAAATCAATGGGCGACGATAAGGAACTCATTTATAAATCATCTTCCCAACATTGTTTCAATGCCACCCATGAGCTAAAGGTAAGGGTATCTTTAGATCTTCTACAGCTAGTTGTTGATAATGATTTGTAATGTTTTTAATTTTGATTTTTTAATTTCTTTTTAAATTTATCAAGCCAAGTTTCCATTAATGTTTCTCTTGCTAAGCTAATTGCTTTACTGGCAAGTGATTTAATTGTCTTGTGGTATGATGCGATCGACAGCACTGCCTGTATTAACTCGTCCAATTGTAGTTAATTTTTTTGTTACGGCTAACAACTATTTTTTTGTTTCTTGGTTGTTTCTGGCCATGAATCATGCAATTTCTTCTCTTAGTCTCATTCTTAGATGTTTTTTTATTAAAAAATTAAATAGTTATAAATCTTGCTCATGCTAATATTTTCTTCTGTTCGGATTTATAAATACATTAGTTTCTAATTTGTCTTGCAATCAAGAAAATGAGATTAAGAGCTTTTTTTATGAGAGAATTGAGAGCAATATATAATTTTCTCAACACATTTCTTTTATTTTAACTAGAAAGGAAAATGTTTTAAATTTTAATATTGTTGTCATTAATCTTGATATTTTTTTAATAACTATACTGAAATGTTTATTAAAAAAATAAATAGTTTTCTTATTAATGAATATCTTTTTAAAATATTTATTGTTGCATTTCTTTTTCGGGAAAAAAAAAATTTGCATGAACTAATTAGAATAAATATAATATAATTTTTGTAAATAAGTCATGAACTTTTTTATTTTAAAAATGTGAATGAATATTAAATTGACATTCATCCATTAAAATTTTTTTTTTGGCATGCATAAATAAATCCTCCTAAATTTAGTGCTTCAATCCTCTTAAAATAGAGAAATAGTTGTGGTTGTGAGGCAGTATCAATTCTTGTTTCTAACGCTACATCACAGCCTTTTATTTTTATTTTTATTTTTTAATATAATTCTTCATTTTGCATTTGATGAATATGTCCACAATCAAGCACAACGCCTTTTTAATTATGATTTTATCAACCAGAAAGCTCGCCTTCTTATATCCAACCAATGAACGTGAGCAAAACATATCCTTTAAAAATATGATTTCATTAAGAAGAAAGCTCCACTGCTCCGCCATCTTTATTATAATCCTCTTCTGCTTCACATCTACAGCAGAAAACTCGTATGTTAAATCAACAACATTCATTGTCCATCAAATTCATCCCAATCCCCAATAAAGTTCTTCTGGGCGAGCTTGTTGGGTGTTCCAAAAGGATAATCCCCTTATATGCTCCTATGTGGATATCATCAATATTTCTCTTTTGCAACAGTTCTGCTCATCAGAAGAATCTCTTCTCTAATTTGATACTTTGTCCGCGCACTTACTAATGCTATTACATAAACGGTGGTGAAAAAATGAATTGAAAATCAATACTACCAAGTTTGAGCTATTAATGATAATCATCAAGCAAATCAATTTGTTCTATTGTCTACTCCATATGAAACCCTAACATTGAATTGACCTAAAGAACATGGCTTCTGAGATTTCCAAATAGTAAATTTTTCTCCAAAAAATCTCATCACACAATGATTAGGCGTGCTTTAGAACCCAATAAATCTTGCACAATATTAAAGAGAGCTTGAAACGCCAAGATAAAAGTGAATTTTATAAGAATTAAAGAAAAAAAAAACATTGCATTGACTGATAACATTTATTCATATACAAAGGTTTCATTTTGAATTTAGAATCCAACTAAACAAAGATAAGACAATGCTTCTTTTACTTGAATTAATACCCTGCTATATATATGTTTGTGAGCCAGAAGCCACTGACGAGAAGGAAAAGGGCTATATGATGCATTTGGAAGCCAGAAAAATTTGGCAGTCCTGAGTCAATCAATGAAAGAAACAAAGGCTTTTTTTTATATACTTAAAAAATGATAATGAATCTTCAAATTACTAGTGACTTTCATATAAAAATATATAATATTTTAAAATTTATATGGTTAAAATGTTTAACACTTGAATTTACTTTTATTATTTATACTATTACAATGAATTGCTTTCAATTTAATAATATTTCATATTTATTTACTTTATTCATAATTTGTTGATATTTTGCATCAAATTTAAATAAAATGTGCCGCACCGTTCAAATTACGTATGGATTCAAGGGAAACTTTTGATCACACTACAAAGCTTCTTTAACCTATCTCTTTCAATTATTACTAATTTTTTCCATAGATGCTTTGAATTAGCCCTTCACTTGAGGTGGAAGCAAGATGGATCCAATAGCAAGAGATGACTGTCAAGGGTTTTCCTATGGCAAACAAAAATTTACAATTCTCCAACAATTTGAAAGTACAAAATGCCTTATATAAGCATTATTAGAAAATTATTTTAGGTATTTCTAAAATATGCAAAATTATGCAAAAACATTTTGTTTTTACATTCACAACCAACAAATCAACAAATTACATCACAGCCTCCCCTAATGAGAAGTGACCATATGATCCTGCTCCAAAGTTAACCCTCTGTTTAAAAGGACAAGCTCTCTCCCTCCCATAATCACAAAGCACTTCCCCTTACCTTGGGTTGAGCCAATCCAAAAGTTGTTCTAAAAAATGATTGTAAGCTACCTTCACTAGAAACTGCTCTAAAAAGTTTCAAACTTAAAGAATATAAAAATATTTTATAAAAAATGACTAGATGGTATGATGGTAAGCTTCGAACAAGGAGCTGTCAAAGAAGAATTTTTAAAGCATCCCAAGGGGCGATTACTGTTTCTAGAGCAAATAGGCTCCGCTAAACTACCTTCACTATAAGGATAGAAGTAGAGGGTCCATAACAAACAATCTGAATTTCTTTGCGACACTCGTACATAAAAAAATATTACATCCGGATGACCTACATCTGAATTTGGTGCGGATGGTAGTATTTAGGTGTTATTAAGTAGTATAGCGGTTTTGTTGCTTGAATTCAGGCATGGAGTTGTTGGAATACTCTTATTGAGCCAGTTAAACAATAAGTTTGTGTGGTTTGAAACTCAATTTAATCTCTAAATAATTTGAAAAACAAAATTTGTAGTCGATTCAATTCGAGTGCGCTGCATTGAGATTCAAGCGCTATATCACAGTTTGTGCTTGATCAAATGAATTTTACTGTGACCCTAATAATTGTACGACCTAGTACATATTTATTGCCACAGCAATTAGACATATAACTTACCTAATCATTGATGTATTTCAAACATTAAGCGATCAGGATTGTTTATATAAAAATCCCTTCAGCTAAACTGTCATGCACACCCTCATCTCCACTCCTATTGTATCCTGGAATACATTTCAATTTAAATTTATTCAATGAGTTCAATATATGCCAGCAGCATTCTTTCAAGAGAATGATGAAAACAACGATGACAAAATGGATTAGGGCATAATGATGGCCAATTTTACTACAAAGGTGGATCATAACATAGAGAGAGAGTTTTTAAAGGATAAATGAGTTTAAATCATTGAATGACTCGATCATTCCCCAAAAGTAGTGATCCTTTCTCCCTTTCTTTATCGATGTTCAGTCTCCAAAAAGGAGCTCACAACACCATGAGGCGTGGCAAGCAATACAAATCCAGAACAAGTATTTCAAGTCTGATGAATTCACATCAGACAACATATTTTCCAATCTTCTCTTAATGGCTTTCAAACAAATTTAAGAATCAACCATCATCTGATATTTAAAAACACGCTGCACGCCTTCACTAAACTTTAACACGATTAAAATTTAATAAATTGCTTTGATATAGATGTATGAGCAAGATAGAATGAAAAATGTAATGAAAACAAGAGCAGCAGAAAACCGTACCCAGTAAGCATTGTTGGAATGTTGCCAAAATAAATTCCCAACATCCAACCAACAGCCAATTCTGCAAAGAGTTCCATAAAAATAATAGTGCAATGAGAAATGAAATAGACATTTCAGAAGAACTGTGTAAAGGCTGCCAATAGGGATGTAAATAAGCGGAGTACCTCAGCTTGAGACAAGCTCAATACAACAAGTTCAAGCCACTCATGGTTCGGTCCGTCTTGCTGAAGAGAAAGCAAATCCAAGGGAGTTCTGGCAATGAAACAATGGAAAGAATGGAAATCAGTGGAGAAAGAATGACTCATTCTGGGAGGATAAGAACTATAAAATTGGGATTTTATTCACATTGCAATTGAAAATTACAAATTCTAATATTTTTATGTGCAGTTCATATTAACATTTTTAAGTGACTTCATGAGTTCAGTGAACGCTAGCTCTAGCTATGTTTTTTAAGGTTAGATCAAATGATCAATAGACATTTACATAATCAAGCTCAGGTTGACAAACTACTACCCCAATTTAATGGTTGCAGCCACGTAAATAAAAAACACACATTTCTAAACTTCTTCTAAATCATTTATTTGTTCAAAGCAAAAAACGAGCTTGAAAATATGGCGGTTCAAATGAAGTTACAAGTAATCAACTTTAGGGGTAAAATAACGCATCGTATAATCTAGTATGATTTATTAGCATCTTATTCATACTTTTTATAAGACAATAAGAAGCCAAATTTATAATATAATTCAATAATAACCTATTTAATATCTTTCACACAAAAAATTAAAAAAACTAAATAAAAAAGTGGCAAGAATGGGAACTTCGTTTCAACAGAACATATTACATACATCGCCCAGATGTATGGACGACAGCATAGATCACATCACACCATCGCGCAAGCGGCGTGGTGAGGTCCACGCCATCTTCCAGACATTCGATGGTCCGGGCATAATATGTTTCTCATTTTAGACACAACATGCGAATATTCTACACCAGTGGACATCTGAATTCGATCAAACATGCACATAGGTGCGCAAAGATCTGTGACGGTAAAGTAGTAAATTAGCATTTCAGCATAGTATAAGATTCACCATAGAGTAATAAAAGAAAATGTAGCGGGAGGAGACACCACATAATTTACGTGGAAAGCCCTAAAAAGAAAAAAAAAACCATGGGGTATAGCTTAGTGAAAATAATTCACTATGTAATTATATACTAGGGAATATGTTACGATTCGACGTAGAAATCCAAACAGATTTTTGCAAGGCAAACATAAATTCTTATTGCAATAATCCAAATAACTCACACAAATAAAAGGATGAACACCTACAATTCAATAGGTGGTCGGTCTCTCTCAATTCCTATAATTCGAGCGGTAGCAAATCTCTTTCAAACCCTAGACATAAGATTCACAATTCAATCTCATGCATCCCCCCCTCCCCCCCTCCTTAACTCAAAACATAACAAGCTTATTTATGCACGACAATAAAAAAATAAAAACAAAAGAAAAAATTTCCCTTAAGGCATATAAAAGACAGATTTGCCCTTAGACTAAGGGCCAACGTAACGATACTCCTTTCCCAAAAGACATCTTGTCCTCTAGGTGGGAAAAAATTAGATTGTTGCTTGATCAAATCAGGCAACTTCCACTTGGCATTAATGACTGAATATATTTTCCATTTAAACAAGAATTCATAGTGAACCATAGGAGTTTGAAATATAGTATTGTGTACATCCTCTGATCGCTTCTAAATTGGTTGGTGGTCTGATTTCCAATCAATCTTAGAAAATATTGCATCCACAAACAACTAATTGCGTGACTAATCAATTGTTAGAATATCTGTCAACTCCGTCTCATGTCTCTTCTATCCTTGTCAACTTCAATCCTACTTATTTTCATTTGTTCAAGCAATTTGAATGTCGTATTATTTCTTCAAAGTGCTATCGCTCAAGTCCACTCCGAGTCTCCTCGCTCGATACCAAAACTCCCGATACACCTAAAGTTGTGATGCTGACCTCATATCGTGTGAATTCTTTTAGTTGTTGCTATCGGAATCCGGGTCTCTTGACCCGTGGTAGGTGGAGTCGATTTTGTGTGAAACTCCATTACCTTCTTCAACATTTATTGAAATTCCCTTGTGCTATCAAATCGGTCCTCCATTCGACTCGCTATAGATAAAAATCTATTTTCTATGGCGACAAGCCTTTCTTCCACCTCAGATCTAATTTGGCTCACATCTCTCTAATTTCCTCTCCAAATCCTTCATTTTCTTAGTTGACATTCTTACAATATATTTTTTTATCATAAAAAAGATGAAAGCACCAACACGCGATTATAAGAATCGTAACTGCACCGCACGGGGCAAACCGCAATCCAACCGATCAGGTAGTAATAAGATTATGTCGCAACTGAAATATAAGTCGAGACCAACAAACTCAACTCGCACGGATCGAGTCGCAATCAAGGCTTGTGGGTCTTTGTTCATCCTGATCCCCAATGCTTCTTATTTGCGGGGTCTTGGAGCATTGTACATCGCAATCCTGCCGAAGCTTTGGTCTCTCTTTGTCGCGATACCGCGCAACTAGTCAACAACTCTAATCGCCAATGTATTGCATTATAACACCACGCTTCCGCTGCAGTCTCGTAGTCGCAATCACTTCGCGTCATATCTTTTGCAGCAAGCTCTGACCTTCTGCGATCCCGTCATCTCCTTACCAGCAAGCTATGGGCCTTACTATATCGCAGGGTTACGTCACGAAAGAGTTTTGGATCTCGACAAACCCGGAACCTTCGCGTCGAAGCCTTTCCAATGCACTGTGACCTCGTGGTGGCCTCTCTACTAACGATTATCGCGGGGTTTTGTCACAAAAGGATCCCGTCGACGCTTCTTTACTATTTCTCACACCGATAACAACAGTTTCACGCCTGCAACGATCCGTGGTGACCTCGCCAAAATCGTGTTCTGATACCAATTTGTTATGATTCGACGAAGATAACCACATTTTCGTAGAAATTAGGGCAAACAAAAATTCTTATTGCAATAATCCAAACAGCTTACACGAATACAAAGATAAACACCTACAACTCGAGAGATATGTGGACTCTCTCAATTCCTGCAATTCGAGAGGTAGAAAATACCTTTCAAACCCTAGACCTAAGACTCACAACTCAATTTCATGCATCCCCCTTAACTATAGATAACAAGACTGTATGCCCAACAATAATAAAAATAAAAGACTAAATTGCCCTTAGGCATTTAAAAGACAGATTTACCATTAGACTAGGTGCCAATATAACAGAATATGGAATTACAAGGTTAATGTACAATGATAGACATAATAGGCTGTGAGGGTCGTAGTATATAGCTATGGAGGCAGTAGTCTAACATGAATGTTGTAGACGGGGGATGTAGTGTCAACTTGACGTAGTGTAGTGGTTGTAGTTGGAAGTCGTGGCATTAATCGGCCTTGCAGGCCGTTGTATGTGGTAGCTTCAGGAGTGTTGATCAGCCACATCATCCGTAATAGGGAGATTTGATAGCATTCTCAGGCCGAAGATATTAATTACACGAGTTGTGAGTCATGAAGATTATAGTGGGTCACATAGGTCATAGCCGTGAGATGTAATAACATCTCATAGGTTGCAAGAATCATAGTTGCGAAATGCACGAGCTGCGAGCTGAGTAGATCGTAGTTGATCACATAGGCAGTAACGGGGAGTTGTAATATCGATTATATGTCGCAGAGGCTAGAGTTAGTGTCTACATGAACAATGAGTCACGTAGGCTATAATTGGTCACATATGTCGTAGTTGAGAGTTCTAATAACATTTGTAGACCGCAGATGCCAAATTTGAGAACTTTGTGAGTTGCAAGCCATGTAGGCCCGTAGTTGGTTACATGGACCGTAGCGAGGAGTTATAATTACTTTGAAAACTACCAAGTAAGCCGTAATGGTGGGGTGCAAGGAAAGAGCTTCATGAGTCCGAAGAAAGTCATCATATTCTAAGTACGACAGTGTTAAGCAGTTAGTTCGGGGTACATTGTTATACCATCTTCGAGAGGCGTTGTTGCACAATATATGCAATCGTTATATCATATTTAGGGTATGTTGTTACATCATTTTCGAAGCGCTTCGCTCAATAGAATGCTTTGTTGCAACGACCAGAACGGTGGCCGACGATAGCTAGCAAGTGGTGGTAGATGATGGTCGGCGGTTGCAAAAAATGGGAAGCGTTTGACGGATCTTTGGTGTAGAAAATTGGAATTTAGCTTCTCTTGACCATCCTCCAAGCTCAGGTCATCTAGTTTACAGTCCCCTTTCATGAATAGTAGAGCTCTATTTAGGGTATGTTTGAGGCAGCTTATTTGACGCGGTGGCGTTTTGAAAACACACCTGGCCTATTTGGGTAAACTGTGTTTTGGCAGCTGATGCGTTTTCAAAATGCTGAAAATAGCATTTTCACACTGCACCTATCTAGGTGCGGTGGTGGCAGCTTTCTAGCAGCAGTCTGGTTTTTCCAAAAAAATAAAAATTTGTAATAGTCACCGCTCCTAGCTTATCAGTAGATTATTTTAATTAGCTTATCAACGGATTATTAAATAAACTACAGCTGCCCTAAACAGACCCTTATAGACTCTCATAGAGGCTTCCCTGCAAATAAGGAGAGCACCACTTTATCGGACGACCGAAGAAATTATCTTAATTGGATGACATTTTGGGGATATGTGAGTGTCTTAAGAATGTCATAATTGAGTGATATTAGACTCATTATGTTCGTTGTTTTGAGACACACGATTTGACTGTAAACTTGTCATATTGGGAATCCCTTTAACCTTCCAACTGGGAGTTGGAAGCTTCCAAAAATTATTAACCAAACGATTTGGGCCTGAATTGACTCATATTGGACCAACTTTGCTTGCATATAATTAAGCCAATAAGTTTGATGGTAAATTTTCAAAATTGGAGTTCTGGATAATTTTTAATGAGTTTGAATGTTTCTTCTCAAAAGATGCCCCAAAATCCGCACCAATCCTCCCTCAAAATTTGTGTCAAATGACAATTTTTATTGATTGCATATCAACAAGAAAAATATAATATATAATAATAAAATAATCTAAAATAACATAAATCTTTCATTTTGTTAAGCTAGTGTCTAATTCAGTACAACATTATAGTGTTCACGCTTTTCACAGGCACTATCTACTTTTACATAGAATGTGATGCACAATTCTTCGTCCATCACATCCAGTTGCCAAATATAGAGGAATATAAAAATAAAATTTCTAAAGTTTTTATGATAAAAGTCTTTAATCATAATTATTATATAGTAGGCCTAAATAAGTGCATTTATAATTGAACTTTGTACCTCACTTAAAAATCAATTGAATGTTAATTAAATTCGAACCGAGCTACATAGTCCCTCTGAATAGAAAGGCCAGGACGATGTTATAACCAATAATACCTACTAAAATATCATATTTATATATGCAATTTTACATATAGAAAATATCTTAAAAGTCTTTTTTTCTCACATATCACTAAATTCTTTATATAACATAAAATATAGCTCATCCACTCTTTTAAGTTCGGGTCGCAAAACTGACAAATTATTACAAGCGAATGTCCGGACAACAGTGGATGGGGATGTCACGTTTCCACAAATGTAAGTGTATGTGGCATGGCCTCCCCGTATACTGTTTTACATACGTGTGGCTTCCGTATATAATAATTTCTCCAAAGATGAAGCCACAATAACTAAAGAGACGGGCGTGAAAACATGTGTGAGAATGATGAATTCAAGCATTGTTGTTTCTAGAGCAAATGGGCTCCTCTAAACTACCTTCACTATGAGGGTAAAAATTGAGGGTGTTCCACAACAAATAACTCAATTCCTCGGCCACTCATACACGCCTTTTTATTGCTTGAATTCAGGCATGGAGTTGTTGGAATCCTCTTATTGAGCCCGTTATTTAAACAATAAGTTTTTGTTGTCTTGTCAGCCATTATTTCGAAAATATTTTAGATTTGAAAATAGTTTT